ATATATACATCAGTTAGTGCTTCTAAATTTAGCCTATAAATTTAGCAAGTGCTAATCCACTAATAAATTAAAAAAATTAGCAGAAGCCCTAAAGCACTAATCAGGAAATTAGTTCCCCTRTTMCAGTTTTAGTGCTTTAGGGGAACTGTGCCCATCACTGGGACCTCAGTTTTTCTTTAATGTGAACCTGTCCCTGGTTTTCTACAGTCCTGGTCCATTTGAGGCTGAAGCTCAGGTAAAACYGTTTCACTGCTTCAACGCCTGGTTTGAAAGGAAGTAAATCATTGGTTAGTGGTTTTTATAGAAAATAAAAATGTTAATGTTTGAAAACATGAAGTCACAAAAAGAGAGACCACAGCATAACTTTAAAAAAAGAGCATCTGATCATTGAAATGCGTATAAAAATCCATGTTTTTCTGTCAGTACGTGGGATCAGAACCGTCACATGATGATGTCACAGCTGCTGTGGACGGTCAGGTCCAGTCCAGGTGGTTGATTCTCCTCAGCTTTGATGAGAAATGAACTTTTGAAGTCAGAGCTCCCACTCCTCAGGGCCCTGTCCTCGCTGAGCTGAGCTCTGATTGGTTAACGACCTGTTGTGGAGCGGAGCCGCTGCCCCTCCTCTTCCTGTGCCCCACCCTGGAGAAGAACAGGTGCAGCATCTCCACGATGTTGAGGACCACAGAGAAGACCGCCACAACCAGCATGAAGATGATGAAGACGGTYTTCTCGGTGGGACGGCTGATGTAGCAGTGGACTTCTCCCTTGCAGGGTTTTTGTTTCTCAGAACACGTGATGTCGTTGGGCATGAGGATGAAGCCGTACAGGTAGTACTGGCCCACAATGAAGGAGACTTCAAACAGGGTCTTGAAGACCAGCTGCAGCACGTAGCTGACTAACAAGACGCCCTTCAGCTTCACTTTGCCTCTTTCATCTGAATACTGAGGAACTTTGTTCATCAGGTTTGTTTCACTCTTCAGCTGGAGGCGTTTCCTCATCTTGTTTTCCCGGCGCATCACCAGCAGGACGTGTCCCAGGTATATGAGTGTTGGTGTGGACACGGTGAGGATCTGCAGGACCCAGAACCTCGTGTGGGACAGAGGAAAGGTGTGGTCGTAGCAGACGGTCACGCAGCCGGGCGTTTTGATGTTACACTGCATGTTGGACTGTTCGTCTCCCCAGATTTTATCGATGCCTGCGACCAGGATGAATATCCTGAAGAGGAACAAGATGCTCATCCAGACCTTCCCAAACCCAGTGGAGTGGGACTGCACCTTGTCCAACAAACTGGAGAGGAAGGACCACTCCCCCATGATGACCCCTACAGGAGAGACAACAGAACTGCACTGAGACGAAGGAAGAACTGCTTTACAGAAGAGGGTTAGGGCCTCAAAGAT